CCTGCACTGTAAACGCACTTTTTCGGTCCCGAGTGCCATGGTCGGGCACCCGCACTACCTCCCGGAAGAACCGTATCAGCCCAGTTCGCAAAACCAACCAAAGATATGCAACGTTCGCCTGTAGAAATTAACAACAACTAGCCAAGCACGCCCATTCGCCTACCCCTACGATGTCTGTAATCTCGAAGACGGGTAAAATAAACGAGGCGTTCGGGGTGGGAGCTACAAAATGAGTCCACGCAAGGTGTTACCAATAACAACTTAAATTGCTCTACTGTCTACTGCATTTAGATTACTGCAGCAGTTTCACGCGCTCGAGGTTCCTAGACTTTAAACAGTCGCAACGAATCCTTTCTTCTCAACAGTTGGAGCAATAACTTGTAATATATATTAATTTATATTAAGCGTTAAGGGTGAATACGTCCGAAGTCTCTAAGCGCACAGTTATAGGGACCACTTAAAACACTGGTGATAGTGTTGTGCCAGAGGACAAATACTGTATACGCCGACAGTTCAACCGTCAGTTTCGACGAGATCCAGCGTGTGCTTCACGGCAGGGTGCTGCATGGCAGGTAACTTGCACTGGATTGTAGTGAGGAGACTTTCATAGCGTCAACCACACTCTCTGCTCCACCCCCTCACCTGGGCTCGGTATTAAAATCGGATCAAGAAGACCGGAGATGAAAGAAGGCGCAGACCTACGCATTGTGGGTCGTGACAAACAAGAAATCAACAGCAAAGTGGGGAGGTGGCTTTAATCCCCACTGAGTTGGAGTGCCAGAAAGGCCGCATTAAGAAGGAGCCATTGCAGTTTGATTCGCAGTTTGTCATTCCAGACTGGTCTGATCGCGCGGTCTGAGTTATCCGTCAGTCGGTCAACTTTCCAGCCGCGTCTTTTAACGAACCGTGGTAGCTGTAAGCGCGTCAGGTTGTTTATAGTAAGGAAAGTGTGCTGAACCGTCGACCCCACTCTCTCCCCACCCCCAGCATTAGACCACCGTCCGAGCCGGTCAGTTGTCTGACGCGGGGGTGGACATAGTGGCTGACAGGGCCTGCGAACCCGTCTACGCGTGCCACAACACGGACGGGCTCCCTTAAATCATAGACCAGAATTACGAAAAACCAGGAGGTAAGAAGGAGCCGTCGCCGTC